TGGCTCCCAAGCATGAACAATGGTTTGAAGACTAGACACTCAGCCCCCTGGAGACGGGTGGGGAGGTGCTGTAGACTCTCTCAGCAGCAGTCACCAGAGTTGCCTTAGGGTGGGGTTCACACCCGTTCCTTTTTAAGGTGCTAGAATCTTCAGTAGCAGAAGTGCTGTCCAGGGATGGTCCTCAGAATAGAATTGGTTCACATTGTAACTCTATTCAGGGTGAAGTGCTTTGAGGGCGTTGTTTCACAGCCCACCACTGCCCTCATTACTCAGCCAGGAAAGGGGCAGCTCGGAGCGGGAAGAAGCCACAGGAAGCCGAGTGCCAGGGAGGGCGAGTGCGGGCTGCTGGAACCAAGGGGCACCTGCCTCTGCGGCTTCCTGCACCCAGCCCAGCCCCGGGGCCTTAGCTACCCCCTGACTCTGTTCCTGCGGGTCCCTTTCGTTCCCCTCCAAGGAGGACACCCCCCCCCCCCCAGCAGAAGGCTTTGCCCCTGTCTCCCTCAGCATGGGGTGTCCCAGGCCTCCTCCCGCAGAACGGGCTGCCCCTCCCCCGCAGGCCTCCCTGCGTGATGGCCAGAAAAGGCTCCTTTTCGTCCAGGCAGTCCTGGCTGGATGCTGTATTGGGACCTCTCATCATTCTTTTTTAAAAATATATACTTTATTGATTTTAGAGAGGAAGGGAGAGGGAGAGAGAGATAGAAACATCAATGATGAGAATCACTGATAGGCTGCTACCTGCACGCCCCCCACTGGTGATCGAGCCCCCAACCAGGGCATGTGCCCTGACCGAAATTGAACCTGGGACCCTTCAGTCCGCAGGCTGACGCTCTATCCACTGAGCAAACCAGCTAGGGCTGTCGTTCTTATACCTTCTCTGTGGCACCGACCTCAGGATTTGTGGGTCAAAGGACGGTCTCTTCAGTCATGAGACCCGCCCTAGAGCAGGAGCTGACCCCAGAGTGATGGGTTTCGGAGACAGAACACAGTAAATAGCCAGTGGTCGGAGCTGGCTAAGCCAAAGGTGCAGGTGGGACCGCGGGAATCTCCCCACGGCCCCAGGGGCTGTGGCTGGGCTGAGGGGGCGGAGGGGCGGCTGCCCCCTGGTCATGGACTCTGTCTGTCTTGCTCTCTCCAGTGTGGGGCCGCCTTCCAGGAAGATGACGTCATCGTGCTTAATGGCACCAAGGAGGACGTGGACACACTCAGGAGCAGAATGGAGGAGAGGAGGCTGAGAGCGAGGCTGGGGAAGGTAAGGGTCCTGTGTCCCTCCCCTGCTGCTCCTCTCCCTGCCTTGCAGTGGCTGCTGGGGGTTGGCAGGGTCTGAGGCCTGTTTACAACCTGGCAGGGCCTGGGCACTGGACAGTCCAGCCTGGCTCTGCTGCACCCTTGCTGTGGGGTGGGCACAGCGCTTCTCTTCCTCGCTCAGCGTCTTCAGTGACTGCACAGGGTGGAAGCAGGGCCTGTCTGGGTGGGTGGGTGGGTGGGGTGGGGTGGGGTGGGGTGGGTGGGTGGGAGCAGGGCCTGTCAGGGACAAGCGTTGTCAGGAGGGTGACAGCACCACAAGCTGAGCCATCACAGTTGCTGCTCTCACTGATTTTAGAAGAGACCCATCAACCCTCCGTATCAGCGGGTTTTCATCAGGGGATTCAACCAACCAGGAATCAAAATTATTTGGGGGTGGGGGGTGATCCCAGAAAGTTCCAAAAAACAAAACTTAAATTTGCCACACGCTGAGCGCTGTGCTGGATCCACAGGAATGAAGTGATGTGTAGGCACACCCTGCCGTAGCGTCTGTGCTCATGTAGGTCACGCGTAAATGCTCTCTATGTAAATGCCATTTTGCATAAAGGACTTGAGTATCCTTGGATTTGGGGCCCCATGAGGGTCCTGGAACCAGGGTTCATAACTTGTGAAATCAAGGAAAATCGCCATTACCCCAGCACATCCGAAGAGCCCGCTGCCCAGACCTGAGTGTCCAGGAGTCGCCTGGACACCTGGGCCCCCAGGAGCCTGTGCCCACCCCCGGCCACCAGGTGCAGCCCCTCCAACAGCACCTGGAGCACCTGGAGCTGCCCCCTAGCCTTCCCCGCCCTCGGGGCTCCAGAAGGTACCCGAGCTCCGGAGATGTCCGCGTGGTGGCGGACACTTGACTTCAGTGAGTTGTCGCGTCTGTCCCAGGCTTCCCGGGACGCCCATGCCCTCTCCGCCCTCTCCGAGAGGTGCTCACCGGAGCTCTGGTTGCTGCTACCGGACACCGGACACTTCCTCAGACACTCCAGCAGGAGGCGGCTGGCAGCTCCTCCCGACCCAGTGCTGTCCTTTCACATGAGCTCTGCGTGAGCCGAGGGCTCAGAGCTCAGCAGCTGCCTCTCTCTGTTTTGAAGGGCTCGCTCTTGTCTCGGGTTTTTACGTCGTATACGAGTGTTACAGGTCACGTGCACGTGTGCATTGTAAGTTCAGGGCTCCTGCCCGAGAAAGTTCCTTCTCCCACGTTGTCTAGTGAGCGGAACCTTCTGGATGGTTAGGCTGTGTGTCTGTAGCGCCATCTTTTGGCTACTTAGGAAAATGGCATTTTTAAAGGAAATTCTCTGAATGAACAAAGTCCTATTTCTCCTGTGATTGAGTCGGTTCTAGCACAGCCATGCGGTTTTAGAGTGGTTCGTTGCATTTTAAAAATTAGGAGCGACAGAATCCTAGTGCCTGGACATCTTAATGGCAGTAATCCCGAGGCGGGAGGACCGGCCCAGTGTCCTTCAGCACAGCCTCAGCCCTCGTGGATCAGCGAGCAAACAGGAAGGCGGTGTGAGCGCCCGGAGAAGCCCACTGGGTGCTTGTGCGGGCTGGATCGTTCAGTTAGCTGCTCCTTTGTGGACAGCAGTCACCAGTCACGTTGACTTACCACTGAAAACTGCCAAAATGTTGCGAATGTGATTTCTGGAACGTGAACGTAAGCAGCTCTCTATAGAGATGTTCTTGAGTGAGGCAGAGGACATGACTGGGCCACGCGCAGGGGGTCCGGGTCTGGAATAAATGGCGCCTGGGGTTGTCTTCAAATGAGACCCGCCCTTAGTGCACCGCATGGCTTGATCTCCACTTCCTCTCCCTGCAGAAAACAAAGAAGGCCAAGGCGGCAGAGTCTGTCTCGCACCCGGCGGCCAGTGAAGGTAGGTGCTGCTCGCAAAGCAGGCGGCGGGGCGGTCTTTGCGCCCTGGGAGGTCTGCTTCTCTTACTTTGCTTCTCTTACAGAGTCCGCAGGGCCGTCCGGAATGAACACGGGAAAGCCTGAGGCCTCCAGCCTTGACTCCCGGGAGAAGAAAGTCAGCCCAGCTCCCAGAAGCACAGGTGGGTCCCACGGAGCCGCAGCGGCTGCTCAGAAAGCTGGGCCCTGGGGTCACGTCACAGCTTTATTGGCCTGAACTCAAAAACTAAGGTTCATCCCAAGTCCTGTCTCGGTCATGCGCTGAGCTCTCTTGGGGACTAGAAACACTTCCAGACCCCAGAGCAGGAGCCTGTCGGGATGGACGGGTCTGGGCACAATTGCTGATGTTCACTTGACCTGTGGAGCGTGCGCTTGGTGCCAGGCTCACGAGGCTGCCCGACCTGGGCCTGGAATCCCAGAGACTGGGTAGAGGGCTGGGGTTCAGCGTGGGGCGGGGGCTGGGTTTGTGTGCACCCCACCCAGCGCTCAGAGCCTCCCTCCCCCACCTGCCTTTCGGCCAAGTTCTGAAAGCCATTCAGCAAATAGTCCAGAATTCAACGCATTTCTCCTGAAACCTGCTACCTTTAACTAAAAAGCAAAACACTATTTATTTCACAAAAAGGAAAATACAGACTGGTTAGGTACGAGCATGTCTGACCTCGCGTTGTAAGTAGCAGCCACAGTGGTTATGGGTTTGACCCCTGCTCTCCATGTAGTAGCCCCGGGGGGAGGGGGGGAGCTCACTGAGCCTCCCACTGCCTCTGATTCAGCCGTCAAACAGGCCATCCCACACCCTCGTGGGCAGGGGTCAGTGTGGGCTCGAGGCAAGAAGTTGAGTGGTTAGTGTGATTTTAAACGCCGTAGCTTCGTCTGTCTCTAGGAGGCGGTGACTGAGATGATAAAGCAGGGGTCCTCAAACTACGGCCCGCGGGCCACCTGCAAATACAAATATTGTATTTGTTCCCATTTTGCTTTTTTACTTCAAAATAAGATCTGTGCAGTGTGCGTAGGAATTTGTTCATAGTTTTTTTTTAAACTATAGTCCGGCCCTCCAACGGTCTGAGGGACAGTGAACTGGCCCCCTGTTTAAAAAGTTTGAGGACCCCTGTGATAAAGGGAGGAGGAGGGAAATTCCCGGAAGGAGCAGGCTTACTTTTCTCCCTTCGAGAACGTGCTGTTTGGAATGATCTTTAGTTCCAGCCATAAAGTACCTGGCTTTTCCTTTTCCCAACAGCTAATGGGAGCTCTTCTGGGAAAGCGGGGAAGCCTCCCTGCGGCGCCACGAAGAGGTCCATCGCCCACAGCGAGGAGTCCGAGGCTTACAAGTCCCTCTTCACGACCCACAGCTCCGCCAAGCGCTCCAAGGAGGAGTCGGCCCACTGGGTCACCCACACATCCTACTGCTTCTGAGCCCCGACTGCGCCCCGCGCAGGCTGCGTCCGGCTCCTGGAGGCCGGCGTGTGGGCGCTGGCTGTGCAGGGGGCCTGCACCGTGTCATCAAGGTGTCCCCCAGACCTTGGTGCCAGTGGCCACTCCTGCCTGAGGCATGTAGGTGACTCGCACCCAGTGACCGCGCCACCCTCTCCCGGCTCAGTTCTCCGTCCTGGCCCCCAAGCCGTGCTGGCTGTACTTCCCAGGCTCGAAACCATTAAAGATTCCAGATGCCTCATGGGTGTGTGCTTGGCTCATTTTGACTAAAATCCAAGGTTTTGCTGCCAGCAGTGAATTAAATAGAAGGAAGGAGCTGCGGCCGCACTCTGCCCACAGGTGTTTGCAGGAGCACTGAGAGGCTGGGACCCTGGCCGAGAACTGGGGGAGGGGCGTCCCTAGTTTATCGCTTCTTTGAAGATAGAAGAGATCAAGTTGGGCACCTGGCATTTGATACAAAAGTAGAGCAAGTCTGCCTTTCCTCTCCTCGGTCTGTATTTCTGTTCTGTCTCCCACTCATGTTTTGTAAGAAAGTTGAGCGCCAGGACTCACGCCATGGTGGTGTCAATTCCTGTCTTTAAATACTATTCATAAACATTTCCTGGTAACAAAACTCACGTGGGACAGAACTTCCTCAGTGTTTCTGTGGTTTGAGGTCATCTCTAAATCAAGGCTGTTTGTCCCTTCCTGCAGTCCCCCTAACCACCAAATATTAGAGCTATAACATGGGGCACACACCCCTGGGGGCACCTCAGAATACTCCGCAGGTGTGGCCCAGAGCACAGGGATGCCTCTCCCACAGGTGCCATGTGAGGAGGGACTAGGAACAGACAAGGTGGCAAGGATGAGCCCCTGAGGGTCACGGCACACCCTCCAGCCACAGCCATAGAGACCAGGCCAGCTGCTTCCCTGCTGCCAGGTGTCGCCTGCAGGAAGGCCCACCCCTGCAGACAGCACGCTGCCCCTGGGGGAGCAGTGAGGGCACAGCCTTGCTCTCTGACCCCTCTGGTGCCAGACTGTCTCACAGAACCTTTGCCGCTGCCCAGAGCTCAGCACAGCTTGAAGTTCCCAGTGGACCTTTGATCATACTCAGCAGAAGGTTGGTTTCTGGGGAATAAGTGAGCCAGGTGACCAGGGGACAGGGACAAGCCTTGTGTACTGTTAACGGCTTTCCTGTTTCGTGTCATTCACTGGCCAAAGAGCCCCAGCTATACTCCACGCATCGGCCTCGCTACCTTCAGGCTGTGTGCTCACCTCGGCCCTTGCCCCTGTCAGGTGCCAGTTCCCTCCTGATCAGTCTTCAAACTCAACCCAAATGCCTTTTTCAGGAAAGCCTTCCTGTGTCACCTGACCCTGCTCTAGTCAACACTCCCTGCTCCAATCACCGTTTAATAAATTACACCCGTATTCGCCCAAGGCCTGCACCCAGGTGAAAGCAGTGAGTGAGGCGGTGGGGACTGGCGGGGGCTGGAGAGAGCGTGACCACCTAGAAGGCATTCCTACTAGGACCAGTGTTTTCAGATCTAACGTTTTCAAAAGGAGCCAGAAATCCAAGTTTTAAAAAGACCCTCCCCCCAACCCCAACATTAAATCCTGCAAATAATTATTTTTAGAAACAATGTAAGCCAATGGTTCCTAATGTTTAATTTTTGTTTTTAGTCCTCACCTGAGGATATGTTTTTATTGATTTGAGAGAGAGAAACATCAATGTGTGACAGAAACATCCATCAGTTGCCTCCCGTACGCACCCCGACCAGGGCTCGAACCCACAACCTAGGTATGTGCCCTGACCAGGAATTAAACCCACAACCTTTGGTTACGGGACGACCTCCAACCACTGAGGCTCTGGCCTGGGTGCCTCTGGTTTAATGTCTTTCTCACTGGGCTCAGCTCCACAGGGCACATGCCCCACATGTGACACGGCATCTGAACTCAACAAACGAAACACAAAGGCAGGCAGGCCTCGGCCAACACAGCACCAGGGCGTCAGAAAGGCTAGCAAGGACATGGCAAGCACCATCCACCCTCTCTTGTTGACGGCCTGCTCGGAATGCCTCCAGCCCCCTACATCCTCCTTCCAGGCCCTGGCCTCACTGGCCTCCCTGCTGCCATCACAATGGCCGGAGCCGCTCCTGGCCGGGGCCTCTGTGACATCAACCCGGCTCAGCCCCAGCACTCAGAGTCCAGGTGCGAGGGCAGACAGACCCACCATGAGCAGCCTCCTCCCCCACCCCTGCTCACCATGCGGACCCTGAAATGGACCCTGTTCCTGCCCATATGCCTATCTTGCGGCTACGCCTTTATGTTTTCTTCTCTGAGGGAGAATGTCAAAGCACCCCCCGGAAAGGTGCCTTGCGGAGGGCACTTCCGAATTAGGCAGAACCTACCAGAGCACACCCCAGGCTGGCTCGTCAGCAAGTGGCTCTGGTTCTTTTTTATTGTTATACTGTATCTAATTCTCAAGTTTCGAAGAGACCGTGAAAAGATGAAGGTAAGGACGGCTCCATGCTTTATCCCAGGTTGCTGCCCCCTCAGAAATCTCCGACTCCGAGACATGGGGGTGGTCCAGGCAGGATGGTAGAGTAGAAGGGATTTTAATGCAAAGTAACCACCGTGGTCCTGGGAGACGCTGGCCAGTCCTTTCCTGATGGAGCCCAGACCCACCACGGCTGGGAGTACATTGGAGACCAGCTTCTGGTTACTGGTTGAAGGAAACCTTGGCTTGTTATTTAGCCTGTTCAATGAGTTTGTTCAATGAGGATAGATTCAAGAACTTGGTGTGTTTGGGGTCGAAATCATTCCCAGAGCCAGATTCGCCGCCCGAGGTTTAATTTCCCTAGCGGTTGACTTCTTACAAGTTGCTGAGTCGAATGCAGTTGATAGCATTATCCCCAGTAAAGGTAGAGAACTTTGTAAAGGGATAGAGGTGTGAAAAGGTGATAGCCCCTGCCTGCAGCAGCCAATCATCTCCATGATGGGGAACGAGACAGAAAATGGCCGCTTATTCTCTACCAGACGGACCCCCACACCTCCCTGGGCTGTGTCCAAACCGACCAGAGGGGCTGGCAAGCCTCTCTGTAGAGGCCCAGACACTAGATGTTTTCAGCGTTGCAGTGAGTGACTCAACTCTGCCACTTTAGTCTGAAAGCAGCCCTAGCCAGTGGTCGGCAAACTCATTAGTCAGCAGAGCCAAATATCAACAGTACAACAATTGAAATTTCTTTTGAGAGCCAAATTTTTTTAACTTAAACTATATAGGTAGGTACATTGTTATTAATTAGGGTACTCCTAAGGCTTAGGAAGAGCCACACTCAAGGGGCCAAAGAGCCTCATGTGGCTCGTGAGCCGCAGTTTGCTGACCACGGCCCTAGACAGTATGTGTGTGAATGAGCAGGGCTGTGTTCCAATAAAACTTTATTTATGATAACAGATGGTGGGCCACATTGGCCCTTGGGCAATAGTTTGCCAGTCTCTGGACTAGAGCAACGCTAGGACCTTCTGTTACGTGAGCCCACGTCTCCTGGACCTGTGTCCCAAGTCCCCAAAGCCGACGGTGTTATTCACTCCGCACATCTTTGTTGACAGGAAAAGACCCCTCCTGGCCCTCGAGGCTCTTTGGTTCGTGCTGCACCGAAGAAGAACCAGTGTGCTAACCCCAGCAAAGACTACGCACTGCAGACCTTAAACCAGCTCGAGATGGACCTCGTGCAGTTCATGTCCAAGGTGCGGAATCTGAAAGTCGCCGTGGCAACTGCCGGTGACTACAAGGGGCAGAACTTTGAGAGGCCTGCAGACCCACATAACAATGTTACCATCTACGAAATATGGGGCGAAGAAGACTACGAATAACTGGATTTGTGTGTCAAAGTAGGACAGGAAAGTCGAGGGTAGACACACCATATGCAAACTAATAAAACTGTTCTGAAGAAAAATCTCAAATCTGAGATATTTTCCCCTCTTCGCTTAAACCTGAAAAAATAAATGTGAGGCCAGTAGCCATGGGCGTGGCCATGAAGGTTTTGTTTTTTGGCCTTTCTTGCTTCCTCCAGGGTTGTGGTGGTGAGACGCTTGGCCAAGGGGCCAGGGCCGGAGAACAAGGTTTAGGAAATTTGGGGTGTTAATATCATTTCCATACTTGCTGTCTTTATATTAGCTATTTGTGCAAATGATGGAACTGATTATCTTATAATTGATTACATTATAAAGGACAACTCTAATGATGGGTGTAATAAAATGATTGAATTTGTGTGTGTGTGTGTGTGTGGCGGATGATGGTTTCTAGAATCACTTGATTTTCTTACCCCCAAAAGTCTTATTCATTTTAGCTCATGAAGCATTGACTGTCTTCTACCAATTAGCAGTTACATATGTCCAATTGAATTAAGAAAATGGAGAATTGATTCATACTAACCAGGGCTCTGTCAATTACTTGCTATGAATGTTCTTTATAGTACCTATTAAAATATGGATGTTTTGGCATGTTACTATGGCTAATGGGAAGTACATGTGCTTAATACAGCTGTTAAGTTGGCTTATGACCCCTTCTGCAGGCCACCCTGACTATTTATAGATGCGCCGTGCAGGGCCAGAGGAGCAGCTGAGGACCCAGGGCAATTCCCTTCCTTCCACCTTCCTTCCCACTACAGAAGGCTAAGTCCCGCCCTGGCTGGTGTGGCTTGGTCGGGCGTCCTCCCATGCACCCAAAGGTCCCCAGGTCCGTTCCTGGTCAGGGCATGTTCCCAGGTTGTGGGTTTGGTCCCTGGTTGGCAGCCATTTAAAGGTGTTTCTCTCTCATCAATGTTTTTCTCTCTCTCTCCCCGTCTCTCTTCCTCTCTCTCTCTAATAATCAATAAAAACATATTTTACCCCCAAAAAAGTTCATTCCCACTGTTTGAACAACGTCTTCAGCATCTGTCCCACGTGAGTGTAGGAGTTAGGCCTCTAATGAAAGCTGCCTGTCTGCTCCCTCGTGTCAATGTTACTCGTCTTTGAAAAGTGGTCCCTGAACACTTGACCTCGATTACAGGATAGGGGAGAACGGAAGGAACTGAGATTATTTCTGGGTTCTTACTGTTTTCAAGCGAATGAGACTCCTGTGAGTTATTTTCACAGGACACTCTGAAGAAACTCAAGTAAGCACACAATACTTTGGTTTTAGCCTGTGAATTCAACATGGGACAGATTTTAGATTAGAATAGAGACCATCTAAAAAGCCAGTGGTGCCCAGCTGGTGTTGCTCAGTGGTTAAGCATCGGCCTGTAAACCAGGAGGTCACGGTTCAATTCCCGTCAGGGCACATGCCTGGGTTGCAGGCTCAATCCCCAGTGTGGGGCATGCAGGAGGCAGCTGATCAATGATTCTCTCTCATCATTGATGTTCCTATGTCTCTCCCTCTCCCTTCCTCCCTGAAATCAATAAAAATATTTTTTAATAAAAAATAATAAGAATTAAAAGTCAGTGGTCACCAAAAAAGCATGGCTCACAGGCCAAAGCCAGCCTGCGGGTTGCTTTTTTAGGGCCCTGAAGATAAAAATGGTTTTTATAGTTTTTAATGGTTGGGGGGAAAAAATTAAAGAATGAGTAATATTTCAGGATATGAAATTCAAATTTGAGTGGTCATAAGCACACGCCACTCGCATCATCCACATATCGCTTGTGCTGCTTTCGCACTAAGTGATGGATTCAATTATTGCACAGAAATCGCATGACCCGGAAGCTGAAAATATTTACTAACCAGCCCTTTACAGGAGAAGCTTGCCACCCCCTTGCACATGCTACCCTCATGTATTATGTTCGCAACCAGGAAAAGCACCGGCCTGCAGACTGAAGGGTCCTGGGTTCGATTCATACCTCAGTTGCTGGCTTGATCCCCAGCCCCAGTTGGGGCACGTGCAGGAGGCAACCAATCGATGTGTCTCTTTCTCTCTCTGTCTCTCCCCCTCCCTTCTGCTCCCTCTAAACATCAGTGGGAAATGCCCTCGGGTGAGGAGTGACAGAGTGACCCCACGCTCTCTAGCCTAATACTCCGCTCTGCAGGACACACTCCGCCTGGGAAGTCCTGCTCTCAGCCCAGTCAGTGTCACGCGATGTTTTCACACAAAAATGCATGAGAGGAGGCTCAGGAGCTAGAGCGCCACAAAGCTCCCCACTTCTGCTGTCAGAGCATAAATGCAACTCCGAATGCCCCACGCTCCTGGTTCCAGCGGTCACTGCAGTGGCCACGCGGACGTGTCCCCGAGGGGCTCACTCAGGCAGTTGGCAGAATGCTTCCTCGCGCTATAGGGCCATGGAGTCCCGCTTCTCCATCACCTCCGCCACGCTCTGCTCTCGGGGGGGGGGGGGGGGGGGCACCTCAGGGCGAGACCCCAGGGCCTGAGGACGGAAACCTGAGGCAGACCCAGCTGGAGAGACGAAGGGGATGGGGCTTCATGGGGACCCTACCGAAGCAGCATGGAGGACGGTGACACATACCTGGGTGAGGGTGGGGGCAAACTTCTCAGATGGCCCCAGGGCCACAGGCCTTGTCTGTCTCTCCCCTGAGTGTGGGCAGCTGCTGTGACTGAAGGGATGGCCACTCCAGTGATTACATTGCATTACAAGGGGCTCCCTCGGGGCCAAGACAGCCTCCTGGTGGCCGGGAAGAAGCAGATGCCACTTTTGAGGGGGAGGGTCACAGGGCAAGGACGTGAGGGCCACCTTTGGGACCTGAGAGTGGTCTCCCGTCAGCATCTAGGAAAACCAGGCACCCACCCAAACCAGTGGCCTGGAGGAGGCCCCAGGAGGTGGGCCCAGCCCCAGCTGACCCCTGGATTGACCCCTGACCTGCTTGTCTCCTGACCCACAGGAACTGAGACCATAAGTGGGTGTCATTTCAGCCACTGAGTTTGTGGTATTTATTATACAGCAATAGAAATGGGTGCAGCATGCAGACACGTCCCCCCCCCTTCCTCCCCCTGCCCCCCTGCCACACACACACACAGCCTGCCCACCGCTGTCCCCAGGCCCGGGCCACGCCCATCCCCCTCTTCCCTGGTCTCGGGGCCTCAGGCCAGGAGGTGGACCACAGGGCGGGCGGCCTTGAATCAAGGGGAGCGCCAGTTCCTTCCAACCAGAGCTCCCAGGCCGCTGGCTCTGTGACCACACCTCCCCTCCCGTGGTTACTAGGCCCACGTCATTTATTTCACTTTTTATTCTGAAATAGAGTCATGCAAAGTGGCAAACATAGTACACTTCTGCTTCCCATGGTTTTAGACGATCCGGAGCCGTGTAAAAACACCGAATGGAAAACTCCAGAAATGAACAAGTCGTTAGTTTTAAGTTGCGGCTGCTCTGAGCAGCTGTGATGAAGTCGCATGATGTCCACGTGACTCGTCCTGTGCCCCGTGTCCACGCTGTGGTCACTCCCGCATCAGCCACGCGGCCGCCACCTGGGTGTCAGGCCCACTGTGGGCCTTGGAGGTGCCCGGGTTCGTCACCCTCGTTTTACTTGCTAACGGCCCCAAAGATGCCACAGAGAAGCCAGGAAGAGCTGCTCTCAGTGAAAAGAGGAAAGTTCTCGACCTAATGAGGAGAAGCCTCGCAGGCTGAGGTTGCTAAGCTCTACGCCAGAACGGGCCTCTAGCCCTGCCTGAGACTGTGACGGACAAAGGAATCAGCGCTGGTGTTGCTGTCGCACCTCAAATTGCAAACACCTCTCCCCACCTGGGCACGTTATCACCTCACCAAGAAGCAGGGTGAGCGCAGGACAGTAGATACAGAGAGAGAGAGAGAGAGAGAGAGAGAGAGAGAGAGAGAGAGAGAGAGAGAGTGAGAGAGAGAGATATCTCAATGGACTCATCACAGTGAATTGTGATAATTGCTCTATTTTCTTAGCAGAGGCTCTATTTTGTAGCCTCTGTGACTAATTTATAAATTAAACTTCATCACGGGTCTTATGCATGGGAAAAGGACAGTACGAATAGGGTTCGGCACTATCCATGGTGTCAGGCATCCACGGGTTTCTGGTCACATTGTCCACAGGTAAGGGGCTAAGACAGAGAGAACCTCCTTGTACCCTCCCCCACTTCCCCCAATTCCCCCTGTTGCCCCCAGTTCCCCCAGTTCCCCCAATTCCCCCAGTTCCCCTAGTTCAGTGTTTGGAAAACTGGTTCACGAGCCACATGCGGCTCTTTGGCCCCTTGAGTGTGGCTCTTCTACAGAATACCACGTGCGGCGCACGTACAGTGCGATTGAAACTTCGTGGCCCATGCGCAGAAGTCGGATTTCAGTCTGGGTGAGTCTAATTTGAAGAAGTGGCGTTAGAAGACGTGGGGGGTGTCGGTTGGTCAGGCGACGGGGATATCGGCGCAGTGAGGCCTTGGGATACACAGCGCGGGGAGGTACAATGTTTTGAGGTACGTTCGCTGAGGCCAACCCCTTCCAAGTCTCCCATCCACACTCGTCTATCTGAAACAAGTATACAAGACGAGTGTGGGCTCTCTGCTCCCCTGTGCGTCAGACAGCCTCTCCTCCTCGCTGGGCCAGCAGCCACAACCCTGAGACACGATGGTGAAGGTCGGAGTGAACGGATTTGGCCGCATTGGGCGCCTGGTCACCAGGGCTGCTTTTAACTCTGGCAAAGTGGATATTGTCGCCATCAATGACCCCTTCATTGACCTCAACTACATGGTCTACATGTTCCAGTATGACTCTACTCATGGCAAGTTCAAGGGCACAGTCAAGGCTGAGAACGGGAAGCTGGTCATCAACGGGAAGTCCATCTCCATCTTCCAGGAGCGAGATCCCGCCAACATCAAATGGGGTGATGCTGGTGCCGAGTATGTTGTGGAGTCCACCGGTGTCTTCACTACCATGGAGAAGGCTGGGGCTCACTTGAAGGGCGGGGCCAAGAGGGTCATCATCTCTGCCCCTTCTGCGGACGCCCCCATGTTTGTGATGGGTGTGAACCATGGCAAGTATGACAACTCCCTCAAGATTGTCAGCAATGCCTCCTGCACCACCAACTGCTTGGCCCCCCTGGCCAAGGTCATCCATGACAACTTTGGCATCGTGGAGGGACTCATGACCACAGTCCATGCCATCACCGCCACCCAGAAGACCGTGGATGGCCCCTCTGGGAAGCTGTGGCGTGGTGGCCGAGGGGCTGCCCAGAACATCATCCCTGCTTCTACTGGCGCTGCCAAGGCTGTGGGCAAGGTCATCCCTGAGCTGAATGGGAAGCTCACTGGCATGGCCTTCCGCGTCCCCACCCCCAATGTGTCAGTGGTGGATCTGACTTGCCGTCTGGAGAAAGCTGCCAACTACGATGATATCAAGAAGGTAGTGAAGCAGGCATCAGAGGGCCCCCTCAAGGGCATCCTGGGCTATACTGAGGACCAGGTGGTCTCCTGCGACTTTAACAGTGACACCCACTTCTCCACCTTTGATGCTGGGGCTGGCATTGCCCTCAATGACCACTTTGTCAAGCTTGTTTCCTGGTATGACAATGAATTCGGCTACAGCAACAGGGTGGTGGACCTTATGGTCCACATGGCCTCCAAGGAGTAAGAGTCCCCCGGACCACCAGCCCCAGCGAGAGGAAGAGAGGCCCTCCGCTGCTGGGGAGTCCCCACCCCAGATCGAACCCCTGACACACTGAGAATCTCCTGACCACCGTTTCCATCCCAGACCCCCGGAGAAGGGGAGGGGCCCAGGGAGCCCTGCTCTGTCGTGCACCATCAATAAAGTTCACTGCACCCAGCCAAAAAAAAAAAAAAAAAAAAAAGACGAGTGTGGATGGGAGAGTTGGAAGGAGTCGACCTCAGGGAATGTACCTCAATCAGATTGAGGACGTTTTCAGCAAAGGCCAGCTTAGGGGTACCCTAATTAAGTTAATAGCAATGTACCTACCTATATAGCTTAAGTTTAAAAAATTTGGCTCTCAAAAGACATTTCAATCGTTGTACTGTTGATATTTGGCTCTGCTGACTAATGAGTTTGCCGACCACTGCTCTAGTTCCCCCAG